GAGCGAGACTCCATCTCCAAAAAAAAGAGAAAATACTCAGGTTTAACCACTTCAGGTCTTCTTTATGAAGGCTCCTGTATCACATAAAACTTATATTAAATAAGTTTGCCTGTCTTTTGGGGCCCCGGCCAATGCACCTAAGATGGGTAGAAGGAGACAATTTCCTCTCCTATAGGGCATAGGACTTGGGTTTGCAGCCTGATTACCCCTTCCCATCCTAGTCTGCCTTCCCTTCCCAAAACAAATGCTGGTCTACTATTAAGATCACCAGGGCTATCCACCTACCTTGTTCATGATTTCAGATAATAAATACAGAAACTGGATACATTTCATTGTTTAGCAGGCCCGTTGATATATTAATTGAGGGCAAAAGAGCACAGGCATTTTAATTATGTGACAAACTGTAGAATTTTGGCTATAGACTGTCAAAGCTACAATTCTGAGCTCAACCACTCAAAGACCAAAGTGTCTAAGGTGAAGAAGTATCACTGCATGAGTAATGTGTAGAAATGCAAAACAAGGATGAAGCCACCACTGCTCAAGTCAAGACTATTACTAGAAAATCAAACATTATTCTTAAAGCAGCTCTGGTAAGCACACAACTTCTAGAGGAACAACAGCAAATCAAAGGAAGCTGATTCCATAAACTTGGAGCCACTCTACTAGAATAGAGGAACAAGAACTCCCCCTCAAAGACCAACAGTTAGAGAGCTGCCATGAGAGGCTGAGATTAACAAAGAGGAAAAAAAAGAAAGAAAAAAGAAAATAAAGGAATAAGGCCAGGCACAGTGGCTCATGCCTGTAATCCCAGCACTTTCAGCACTTTGGGACGCCGAGGCAGGCAGATCACCTGAGGTTAGGAGTTCTAGACCAGCCTAGCCATCATGGTGAAACCCCATCTCTACTAAAAGTACAAAAATTAGCTGGGAGTCGGGAAGGGTGCCTGTAATCCCAGCTACTCAGGAGGCTGAGGCAGGAGAATAACTTGAACCTGCGAGGCGAGGTTGCGTTGAGGTGAGATTGTGCCGTGGCACTCCAGCCTGGGCAACAAAGCCAGACTCTGTCTCAAAAAAAAAAAAAAAAAAGGAACAACTCAGCAAGAAGATGGTAGACCCTTACAAAAATGAAATGTGGGTCAGAGCCTTAGCCCTCCCTTGCCTTCCTAATGGCTCCTCTGAAAGTAGCTCTGTTAACTTGCAGCTATCCCTTAAAGACACAAGGAAATGAACATCCCGTGACCCCATCACAGCACTAAAAGGGGTCATATTTCAGTTGGAAAATGGCAGTCTTTCTCAGTAATTTACATACTACACAGAAGCTTCTAGATTCCTGGAATTTCCCTTAGGAAGATAAGAAAAGTTTTTTAAAAAGTGCCTAGGCTAACCTGTGGTCTAGCAGGAGAAAATGAACTAAGTCCAGATGACTCATAAAGCTGGGTGGCTGTGGTAATACAATGCGATTATGTACTAATGGAGCTATGGACCAGGGGCTAACAGAAAGCAGCAGAAATGGGGGCCAGTGGAGCTCTTTTTGTACCCACCAGTTCTCACTTCATAAACTAGTGAACAAGTGGAGTACCAAGTCCTAGTGAGGAGAGAAACCATGCCAATGTTTTCGTTTTCAGTTTGAGCCTCCCAATTTACTCGACTGGCTCTAGGTGCCTCCCTTCCTCAATAGTTTACGAAGATACGCAATCCTACCAGTTTTCTCTGTGGACGCTGTGAACTGTAAATTATTTATTGCATTTCCTCTGAAAACAAATCTAGGATGTCAACCCGCTAGCAAATTAATAAGCAGCTGGCCCACCAGGTACTGCCACCATTTTGGACATATATAGAATAAAGGGATTTCACAGTAAGGGCACCTTCTATAATCCGGGCATTATACTGAGTTCTTCACACACTTTCTGTTTCTTAATATTTATAATGGTGGGAATTATTATCCCCATTTTGCAGAGGAACAAACATAGTTTAGGAGTTTAGGTGACTTGCCTAAGACTGAGAGCACATAAGCTACTCGGTGGTGCCGCAAAAAATGTCAACCCAGGTCTTCCGATCCCTAAACCCATGCTCTTTCTACCACATTCTGTGCATCCCACAGAAAACCAGTTTGGACCTTTCCTTATTCCCTTGATGATGGTAACTGCCTTTGGATGTTTCCAATGGCTAAATGGTTACTTAAACTATGTTGCCTTTTTTTTTTTTTTTTTGAGAATCTGGGGCAATTAATTACTACACATTCATTTCTTTTCTTGTAATTTACAGAGCTTTCTTTCTGAAATGCAGAGCAATTACACAGGAAGCCGGAGGAAACTTCTCTCCCCATGTTCTTTTGTAAGATCAAACAGGTATCTGTCAATAAAAAGCAGTCATTCAGGCTGGAGCTCTTTAATGTGATAATGAGATAATGCTAGGTCTCAGATTTCTCCGGGGCTTTTCAAGGGTCTGCAGACTGCACCCCACTTGTACCTCTTGTCCCTATTTGGTCCCTCTCTGTATCCTCCTCCCACTCCTCTCTCTCAGATGCAAACGAATGTCTCAATATTCTCTTTTTACTCTTAACCCCTTTACAATCTTAAATTCACAGGGCACCCCAGATCTTCATCACTAAATTCACCAAATAGTGTGGATTGCCTACTCTGTGCAAAGCACTGTGGTAAGTGTGATGCAAGATATAAACTCCAGTAAAGTCAAGTCTCTGCCCTCAGCTTATACTCTTGAAAGGGAAATAAATCAGGGTAAAGTAAGCAGAGAGTACAAATCAGGGTACCATTTTTTACCAGCTGAGGAAGAAAGGACAGGTGAGCCTTGGGGGTGAGCAGACAGGGGGAGGAGGGCAGAAGAGGGGAGTCAGCTCCTGCCTCCTTCACTTTGCAGATCAACTGCAGGACATTGCAGGTTCCAGGCCCCCCACTATTTTTCCACCTCACCCTTTTCTTGACTCTCTTCTTAACTAGCCCATTGCCCCTTGTTGTGCACTGCTGCCTTCCCTCTGCAATGAGGAGCTCTCTTCAACCACTTTTTAAAATGTAGTATTGAGGCAGGAGAATAGGATCTGGAGGCAGGGAACATAAGGCCAATTCATGCTGACTTCCTAGAACTAAATCAAATGGAAACATTTCAGCTATGACAGGAAATATCCTTTACATTTATACAGGGCATACACCAAGTAAATGAGTTTGTAACTTTATTTCATCCTCCTCATTTACATAGGGCATACACCAAGTAACCAGTAGAAACCTCTAGAGGGTATTTAAATGGCAGAAAATTCTGTAAGTGGCTCTTGAGCCCCTGTGCTTGGCCTGCTCCTACTCTGTGGAGTATACTTTCATTTTCAAAAAATCTCTGCTTTTGTTGCTTCATTCTTTCCTTGATTTGTCTGTGCGTTTTGTCCAATTCTTTGTTCAAGATGCCAAGAACTGGCTGGTCATCGTGGTTCATGCCTTTAATCCCAGCACTTTGGGAGGCTGAGGTGGGCAGATCATGAGGTCAGGAGTTCGAGACCAGACTAACAAGGTGAAACCCTGTCTCTATGAAAAATACAAAAATTAGCCAGGCATGGTGGCACACACCTGTAATCCCAGTTACTTGGGAGGCTGAGGCAGAAGAATCACTTGAACCAGGGAGGTGGAGGTTGCAGTGAGCCGAGATCGCGCCACTACACTACACACAGCCTGGGAAATAGAGTGACACTCAGTCTCCAAAAAAAAATATGCCAAGAACCTGGACACCCTCCACCAGTAACATATTTTATTGCTGCTAGCTGCCACCCCTTCTCCCTGGGATCTTCTAAGGCTGGGCATGAGGAAGAGCCAGCTCCAGCATGTTGAGTAAAATCTCATCCCTCAGCGTCACCTGAGGGAACAAGAGTTTAACAGGAGAGGGGCTGGGGCTTCCCAGGGTAGAGAGTGGGCAGATGCCTTGGCTTCTGTCTGTGAATAAGGTTCCCTGTCTGCCCTACCCTATCAGTAGGTGTACATGGCTTCAGTGTTGGGTTGAGTGAGATTTGCTGGTACTGTTGTGGGCTGGGATGGGGGCAGTGGGATGGGCTGCATCCAATGAGCCACATACCTTGATGAGAATGTGAGACAGGCTTGGACACCACATGGCCTGCATTTGATACAGGAGGGGGGCAGGAAAGTGCTGGGTAGAGAAGGGCATGGTCCCTGGTTAGGGCTCCACCCTCAGGCCTGTGCCCACGGACCTAAGTGAGGACAGGCGTTTCTGTTTTCATACCCAAATGCTGCATTTTGCAAGACCACCCAGGCCTGCCACACCCCTATTCTGTGCCCATGAAAACCCCAAAACCCTAGCGGGCACAGGCACAAGTGGTTGGACGTCAAGAGGAACACACTGGCAGAAGAGCACACTGGCAGGCACCAGAGACACTGGCAGGTCATGTACAACAGGACAATGTGGAGTTCAGTCAAGGGTGGTTGGAAGAGAACCTGGCCACTGAGGGGCGTGACTCCAGGGAAAGACCACCCCACTTCTGGCTCCCGTCCATCTGCTAAGAGTTACTTTGACCACTCAATACAACCTTGCCCTCATTCTCCAAGCCCATGAGTGATTCAATTTTTCCAGTACAGTAAGGCAAGAACCCCTGAATACAGAAAGCCCTCTGTCTTTGTGATAAGGCACAGGGTCTAATTGAGCTGATTAACACAAGCCACCTACAGATGGCAAAACTAAAAGAGCACATTGTAACACATGCCATGTGACTTGTTCAATGACAGAGATATGAAAATCTACCAAGTACTGCCAGTAGAGTTGGCTTCTGTCCTTATGATGCTTACAGTAAAAAGGACCAGTAATACTGAAAATTAGGGCCTTTACTGGTAACACCAGCTGTTACTGGTAATATGTACTTGGGCAAGGCATTTACCCTCTTATATCCTCAGTTTTCCCAACAGAAAAATGGTGTTCATCTATGTGTTGCTCAGCTGAATGTAAGAATTACCTGAAATAGTGTAAATGCAGTGCCTAGCATGGTATGTGGCACATAGTAAAAACACTGGGTAAATGTTCTCCTTCTCCCCAGTTCCTTTCCATTAAAATTTGAGATTCAAGCTTGCCTTTGCACTGTAGGGGAACAAAAACATCTTTTCCTCATCCATTGTTAGCTTCATGGCTAAAGCCCCTATAAGAAAAGACAGATTAATAAGAGAAAAAGCATACAAATTTATTTAGTAAGTTTTACACACATGGAGCCTTTATAAAAAAATAACCCAAAGAAATACTTTAAGTATAATTTAGTGCTAAGTTTAGTGAAGAATGGACAGTCGTGGAGAAATATGACTGGATAAAGGGGGGATGATTTGATGGTAATAAACTAGGGAGATCTTAGCAAGGTCTATTTGTTCAGATTCTTCTCTGTGTCTTTGTATCCTCAAAGATAAGAATGTTCCTTTCCTGCAGGTGTAGAGAGGGCACCTCTTGAATAAGGGTCTTATAACCTGCTGCAGGGGAAGGTCAGAAAATCCTTCCTAGGTTTTATGCTTCAGAAGAGAAGTGTGAAAGAAAGTCAGAAACTGACCCTCCTGCTTCTTTGGTTTTCTCAAATTCTTTCAGCCTACAATATTCAATATGTCAAGGTAGCCATATTTTGGAGTAGCAAATCCCGAACCCCATCAGCACAAAATAATATCTGTAAACTGAGTCCTGTGGCTTTTATTTATTTAATTATTTTTTTTGAGATGGAGTCTCACTCTGTTGCCCAGGCTGGAGTGCAGTGGCACAATTCAGCTTACTGCAACCTCCACCTCCCTGGTTCGAGCCATTCTCATGCTTCAGCCTCCCTAGTAGCTAGGACTACAGGTGCATGCCTCCATGAATGGCTAATTTTTGTATTTTTAGTAGAGACTGGGTTTTGCCCTATTGACCAGGCTGGTCTCAAACTCCTGAACTGAAGTGATCCGCCGACCTTGGCCTCCCAAAGTGCTGGGATTATAGGCATGAGCCACCACCTACAGCTCTGAGTCCTGTAGCTTTCAAACAGGAGGAAATACCTTATAATTTTGAAGAAATCTCTAGAAAATTAATTGGTCACACATTTTGAAGTGTTAAAAAAATCTGGGAATGGGGAATCATTAGACTGGGGTGACTCCAACATTTTAACTTTCTACGTAAGCAGACCAAAGCCTGATGTAAACGACAAAACAAAACTAAAAACTTCACCAACCAGAAACTGCCAATAAACCTCCAACTAAGATCTTTCTACTGTAAGCAATGAAATAGATTTTCTTTGTGTTACTTCCATGCCAGCCTATAAAAGCTCACTGCTCATGCTGCTACAGCTACAGAGCTCTCTGAACCTTTCCTGCTTCGGACTGTTGCCCAGTTCATGAATTGTTCTTTGCTCAAACCAATTCTGTTAAATGTATCTTGTCTAAAGTTTTTTTTCAATCAGAAGAAAGATCATCCATTGTGAAAATGAGGTGTGATGCCATAACTAGATAATGGGTTTGTATAAATAGCAAGGACTGTTCAGAAGAGATGGTGCTGTGCTTCCCAATAAGTGGGCCACCAGCCACATAGGACCCTCAAACACTTAAAACTGACATATGTGGCCAGGCGCGGTGGCTCACACCTGTAATCCCAGCACTTAGGGAGGCCGAGGCGGGCAGATCACGAGGTCAGGAGATCAAGACCATCCTGGCTAACACGGTGAAATCCTGTCTCTACTAAAAATATAAAAAATTAGCCAGGCATGGTGGCGGGCGCCTGTAGTCCCAGCTACTCAGGAGGCTGAGGCAGTAGAATAGCGAGAACCTGGGAGGCGGAGCTTGCAGTGAGCCGAGATGGCGCCACTGTACTCTAGCCTGGGCGACAGAGCGAGACTCCATCTCAAAAAACAAAACAAAACAAAACAAAAAACTGAGATACACTTTAAGTGTAAAGTATATGCTGGATTTTGAAGACTTCACACCAAAAAAAAAAAGTAAAATACTTCAATAATTTTAAAATATGGATTACATGTTGAAATGGTAATATTTTGGACACACTGAGTTAAATAATATATATTATTAAAATTAACTTTGCTTGTTTCTTTTTACTTTTTTAAATGTGGCTACAAAAAAGTTTAAAATTATTGGCTGGGCGCTGTGGCTCATGCCTGTAATCGCAGCACTTTGGGAGGCAGAGGTGGGTGGATCACCTGAGGTCAGGAGTTTGAGACCAGCCTGGCCAACATGGCAAAACCCTGTCACTACTAAAATACAAAAAAGCAGCCGGGTGTAGTCGTGGGCTCCTGTAATCCCAGCTACTTGGGAAGCTGAGGCAGGAGAATTGCTTGAAACCAATTGGGAGGTGGAGGTTGCAGTGAGCTGAGATCGCACCACTGCACTCCAGCCTGGGCGACAAAAGCAAAACTGTCTCTAAAAGAAAAAAAAAAAAAAAAAAAAAGAAAGTTTAAAGTTATATGTGGCTTGTATTCTATTTTTATTGGAGACTGCTGAAGTAGTAAGTAGTTTGTTTGCTTGTTTGTTTATTTGTTTGTTTGTTTGAGATGGAGTCTTGCTCTGTCACCCAGGCTGGAGTGCAGTGGTGCAATCTTGGCTTACTGCAACCTCCGCCTCCCGGGTTGAAGTGATTCTCCCGCCTCAGCTTCCTGAGTAGCTGGGATTACAGGCACCCACCACCACACCCAGCTATTTTTTGTATTTTTAGTAGAGATGGCGTTTCGCCATGTTGGCCAGGCTGGTCTTGAACTCCTTGCCTCAGGTGACCCACCTGCCTCAGCCACCGAAAGCGCTGGGATTACAGACATGAGCCATGGCACCCGGCCTGAAGTAGTAAGTAGTTCCCACGACAAGCCATCCTGTGTGATCTTATTCAATATTATTTGTCTTAATGAGTTTTGGTGACAACAGATCACATGTGGTATTTGTCACTTGTACCAGGCTTAATAAATACTTAAGAATAGAAGGTGTTAAGTAGGGTTGAGTGTGAGTTAGATTCTACTACCCCTCACTGTTTAGCTGAACCAGGCTTTTCTTACCGTACTTTAAGGAAAGGCCTTTCTTCCATTCTGGCGCTAAAAGCATCCAAGCTCTATCCAAATGGGGCCGCTTCTCTCTTTCTCCAGATGCATCAATTAATAATACTTTGATAACCCGAGCTTCCTCTCTGTGGGAGAACTCAGTCTTCACCAGCTAATTAACTCTACAAAGAAAGCAGAGCTGCCATCATCTCAAATGTTTCCACTTCTGCTTCCTGAGACAGCCAGGAGAACAAAGCAAGAGATCACCCCTGTGGGCTGCGGGGACCTCGGGCTGGAGTTCCTGCATCTGTCTTTCTAGTTGAGAGGGACCTTCCTTGACAAACAAGAGTACTTCATCCTTCTGAAGAGAGGGATGACTTCGCTAAAAGCAGTGTTCAAGTAGTTTTTGCCACTGACCAGACCTTTCCTTTGTTAAGAGTACCTAAGTGCACACACACACACACACACACATTTGACTAGATGAGAACAACCTCTAAATGGATTAATTTATTTTGTTTTTTGCTTTTATGTGTATTTTTTTTTAACCATTTCACTTCATTTCTTGCAGAGTAGAACCATTATTTTTTAGCTGCCTTCAAAACCTCAATTCTCTTGTTTGGATGAAAAATGGTGCATTTTCTCCTAAGTCCAACTGCCTGCTGGACCCCTCCACCACCTCAGAGTCAATGTGTGCAAAACAAACTCCTCCACCTCCCCCACGTGATGCTTCCTCCTAAATCTGCAAATGGCACCACTGTCCTCACAGTCACCAGGCTCAAATGTTGACCACGTTCCATTCAATTCCTCTCTCTCCCTTCCTCCCACATGCAAGCATTTGCCAGGTCAACCTATCATTTCACCTCTTGTCTTTATCCCCTCTTCTCTGACCTGCTGCCCTTTTCCTAGTTCAGACCTGCTTTGCATAGTTTTCAGATGATGGCCACAGCTTCTCACCTAGGCTGCTGCTTGGCTCTGTTTCTCCAAGGAGTTGCATCCGAGATTATCTTCCTGTGCAGGTGCTGATCAAGTCACTTCCTGGCCCACAATCTGCTTTGCCATGATCTACATGCTAAGGTCAGCCACCTCAAATCATTTTAGGCCAAGATAGATAGAAATAAATATTAACACAAAACAAGCAAACTCCGCTAGATAAAAATGTAGACGTCTTTTTTTTTATTTTTATTTTTATTTTTTATTTCAGATAGAGTCTTGCTCTGTCGCCAGGCTGGAGTGCAGTGGCACAATCTTGGCTCACTGCAACCTCCACCTCCTGGGCTCAAGCAGTTCTCCTGCCTCAGCCTCCCAAGTAGCTGGGACTACAGGGACCCACCACCACGCCCAGCTAATTTTTGTATTTTTAGTAGAGATGGGGTTTTGCCATGTTGGCCAGGATGGTCTCGATCTCTTGACCTCGTGATCTACCCACCTCGGTCTTCCAAAGTGCTGGGATTACAGGCATGAGCCACCGTGCCTGGCCCCAAAATTTAGATGTCTTTTTCAGCATTCAAAGCCTCTGTTACTTGGCCACAATAACCTTCCCATGCTCCTTTACAGACCTTGGTTCCAGTAGAACCAAACTGCTGAATGCTGTCAACATATTCTTACCCCAGTAAGCTCATGCTCCTCCTTCCACTTGAGGTTCTCCTTCCCATTTCTAAAAATACAGTCCTACTAACCTGTATTCGTTTCTCAGGGCTGCTGTAACCAAGTGCCACAAGCTGGGTGACTTAAAACAACAGAAATATATTGTCTCGCAGTTCTGGAGGCGAGGAGTTCAAAATCAGTATGTTGGTAGAGCCTTGCTCCCTCAGAAGGTGCTGGGGAAGGAGCTGTTCTAGGCCTCTCTCCTGGCTTCTAATGGTTCCTAGGCTTGTGGCAGCAGAACTCAAGTCTTCATATGGCATCTTCCCATGTATGTGTCTGTCTCCAAATTTCCCCCTGTAGGGAGAAAAAGGTATTCTCCTCACCCATTAACAACGTTCCTGGCTGAGACCACTATAACAAAAGACATATTAGCAAGAAAAATGCATATGTTTATTTAAGTTTTATGTGACATGGAAGACTTTAGAAATGAAAATCCAGCCGGGCACAGAGGCTCACGCCTGTAATCCCAGCACTTTGGGAGGCGGTCAGGGGCTGGAGACCAGCCTGACCAACATTGTGAAACTCCATCTCTACTAAAAATACAAAAATTAGCCGGGCGTGGTAATCCCAGCTACTCAGGAGGCTGAGGCAGGAGAATCGCTTGAACCTGGGAGGCAGAGTTTGCAGTGAGCAGAGATTGCACCGCTGCACTCCAGCCTGGGCGACAGGGTGAGGCTCCGTCTCAATAAATAAATAAATAAATAAATAAATAAATAAATAAATGAAGACCCAAAGAACCAGGAAAACCTGTGCAGAAGTGTTATGGGAGGGCTGGGTGCAGTGGCTCATGCCTGTAATCCCAGCACTTTGGGAGGCCAAAGTGGGTGGGTCACCTGAGGTCAGAAGTTCGAGACCAGCCTGGCCAACATGGTGAAACCCTGTATCTACTAAAAATACAAAAATTAGCTGGGTGTTGTGGGGGCACCTGTAATCGCAGCTACTTGGGAGACTGAGGCAGGAGAATCACTTGAATCCAGGAGGTGGAGGTGAGCTGAGATTGCTCCATTGCACTCCAGCCTGGGCCACAAAAACAAAAATACATCAAAAAAAAAAAAAAAAAAAAAAGTGTGATGGGAGGAGCAAAGGAAACCATCTAATGATAATACACTGGGGGGAGCTAGAAGGCCTGTTTGTCTAGCTCCTTCTTGGTGTCCCTGTATGACTTTCCTTCCCTCTAGGTATAAGACAGGACAGCTGTCACACGAGCATCTCCAGGAGAGAAGCGAGGGAGGTCAGAGAGTGACCTTCCTAGGTTTTATGGCCTGCTTCAGGGACAAAGGGTGAGGGGGACGGTGAAAATGACCTTCCTGCTTCTGCTGTTTTCTCAAATGCCAAAGTGCCACAATTTCGGTAGCATGTCCTGAGTCCCATCACCCTTTTTACAAGGACACCACTTATGGGATTAGAGGCTCGCCTTACTCCAGTATGACCTCATCTTAACTAATTACATCTACAATAACCCTAATTGCAAATAAGGTCACATTCTGAGGTACTGGGGGTTAAGACTTAAAATACGCATTTTGGCTCAGGACACAGTTCAACTCATAACACCATCCTTTAGGTGAAGCCCAAACGCCATCTCCTTCTGGAAACAACCTTGACCCTTTCCCCACCTCCTTACCCCAAGCTTGACATAAACTCTATCCCTCCTTGAATGCCTCTGGCCTACGAAACTCTTACATCTTTATCATATGTGATGGCACAAAACACTGGCTTTGCATTTGAGTCGGGCACTGTGTTGGACGTGGCTCCAAGCTATTTTCTAAAGGGCTTCTCTTTCTCACACCCATGTGTCATCTCCCTTGGAGGATGGAGGACAAGAAGCATAAACACTTCAGTGAGACCTCTCGTTGGCCCTGGGAACTGGCTGAATATGTGTCCCTGCCATGACAGTTGTCCCCAGAACCAGAGGTAGAGTTCTGAAGACAGCTGTGAGGATTTCTTCACTTCCACCTGCTAGAGAGGCACTACCTCCAACTGCCACTCCTGAAGTACAGATGTTCTCAGCTGTCCCCACCCCTCCACCCCAGCAACTTTCCCACGCAGAGCAGTTAATCTGCTATTTAAGATGCAGACCTAGCTTTCTTTTCACAGCTTGCTCAGCCATATTTTGCAGTTTTGATTAGGAAATAGCACTCCGTGTGCAAGAATTGGGTCGGGTTACACCATTTAATAAAGCTATCATGACTGATGTGAGCACTACTCACAAAAGGGAACAGGAGTTACACAGCTGTACTCTTTGTGGCATGAAATCATGCAGCTTGCACTTGGGTAAGGACCTTTCTGATGTCACCGGGTGAAGGATTAAGTCATAATTATGTAGATCTAAATTACCTTCCAGCAAACCCACTGGCAGTTCTTCATTAACATCACAGCAGGCTTTAATTCCAGCAGAAGACTGATCACCCTTCAGCTGCCCGACATCCAGCCTGAAGAATATGTTTGGAATTAAGCAGGGGTCTTGGTTGAAAAGAACATCAGGTGCTGTTTCTTGGCTTTGGTTGGAGACTTTATGTTGGTATGTGTGAATCCTCCTTTCGTGACAGTGCTTGGGATGTGTGTGTGCCAGGTTCTACCCATTTGCCTTCATTGTCTCATGCTCACACACTGGAATCTGAGAATCCAGTAGTTATTAGGGACCTTGGATATCACTGATCATCTGAGTTTTGATCAGAAGGCAGTACTGATCCAAGTCGGATTTCCAGGACCGTTTATGACTGAGGTGGCCAGCTGATGCCACCATGAACATCTTCCAGGCCCCGGAAAACTCTTCATGCAATGGACCAGAGCTATAACACCTTAGTGTCTATCCCTAGGGAGGCTGAAATAACCAGGAGAAGGGTCTTATGGATAAATAGGATTTTCTGGGAACTTGGGTGTTTCCCTCCCACATCAACTTGTGGGGGTAGATTTCCAGCCAATGTGTAGGAAGCCTTGGAATTGATTAGTTGATTTTTGTTTTGGGTCACCGAGAGGCTTGTCTCAGCAAGAATAGTCGATAAACCATCTTCTCTTCCGTTTTCCATTAGGGTGAACCAAAGAGAATGCCTCCCAAGTTAGGCAGGATAAAACAACTTTGCTTTACGGAACTACAAAGCAGTCCCTGTGAATAATGAATGGTGAGATCTGCTTTTCTCCATTAGGGAGGGAGCTAGGCATTTCATACCCACCTTCTGGGAACTGCTGCCCATGAACTTTTTTCTTCTATCTGTAACAGGAATACTCTTAAGCTTACCTTAAATTGGGAAACGTTTAGCCCCTGACAAAATCATGGAGGAGATGACCAAGGGCTGGGAGAGACAGTCTGAGACAGTCGATCTCTAACCAGAATTAGATAACAGGCTTAAAAAAAGAATATATTACCCGGTTCCACTCCAGATGTACTAAATCAACATCTCCAATGGTTGGGAGTTGAATTTTCTTCTTTGAACTTCCATAAGCTCAAATTTTTAATTTTAATTGTTGCTACTCTCCTAAGTCTTCCATGTGGTTTCTGAGCTCTGTTTTTTTAAATTTGTATCTTCTTAATGTGTATATATCATAATTCCATACTACTTCATATTTTTTCTGTAAAAAAAATGGTGGTGGTGGTGGATGTCAAGTTATAAGTCAACTTGAAAACAGAGTTGTGATGGTTAAGATTGAGTGTCAACTTGACTGGATTGAAGGATGCAAGGTATTGTTCCTGGTTGTGTCTGTGAGGGTGTTACAAAAGGAGATTAACATTTGAGTCAGTGGATGTGAGAGGCAGACCCACCCTCAGTCTGGGTGGGCATCATCTAATCAGCTGCCAGGGAGGCTAGAATAAAGCAGGCAGAAGGATGTGGGAGGACTTAATTTGCTGAGTCTTCCAGCCTACATCTTTCTCCCGTGCTGAATACTTCCTTCCCATGAACATTAGACTCCAAATTCTTCAGTTTTTGGAGTCTTGGACTTACACCAGTGGTTTGTCAGGGGTTCTTGGGCCTTTGGCCATGGTCTGAAGGCTGCACTGTCGGCTTCCTGACATCTGAGGTTTTGGGATGGACTCCCTTCCCTGCTCAGCTTGCAAATGGCCTATTGTGGGACTTACACCTTGTGATTGTATGAGTCAATACATCTGAATAAATTCCCCTTCATATATACACCTATATCCTATTAGTTCTGTCCCTTTAGAGAATCCTGACTAATACAAGAGGTCTTCTAAAAAATCCTCTACCCAGTAGAGAAGAAAATCACATTCAACATTGTGATAAATGGCCCTCTATCTTGGATTGAAGTATTTAAGTGAAAAGCAGCACACCACTTTAAAATGTGACTTACTCTATTGTGGGCTAGTCTTCCTAGGTAAAGTTCTTCCTTTTATTAAAACTCATTGTGCTTTTGATTTGCACCTCTCTGATGATTAGTGATGTTGAACATTTTTTCATATATTGTTGTATGTCTCCTTTTGAGAAGTGTCTGTTCATGTCTTTTGCCCACTTTTCAATGTTTTTTGTTTGTTTGTTCAATTATTTAAGTTCCTTATAAATTCTGGAAATTAGACCTT